AACTTTGAGGAATCTATTGCCTTGGAGTTTTATTTCATCGGGGGTGTTTTTTTGAACCCTGACATCACATTCAGCCAGATGTTTAACCATTAAAAATATAGATCAAAGCAAAATAAAACTTCAAAAAGTGATATTAAAATAGAGGGACGCCTAAAAAAAGCAAACAACTGAAAAAAATAGAAATCAGATCTTTTAGCTGCGCTTATTGAGAATTGGCATCCACTGGATTCTCTTCCCATGCAAGTACACAGTGGTTTGTCCGAGGGTCATTGTGGGTTATTCCAAGTTACTCCCATTCAAAACTTGGGAAGCATGCTGCCAAAGAGCCAGCTTTAGCAGCAAAGTCAGCTGTTTGTTGGTGAGAGAAAAAAAATCAACCCATCGCTCAGCATGCCATTTTCTGGACACTTCGCTTCCCACCATTTTTGGGAGTCTTCGCTTAATTATTCAATATTGTTGACAGAGGAATCAGTGCAATGTCAAACAGTAGTGGTGATAGTGAGTCTCCTTGAAAGATTCCTCTCTTGATATTAACCTGTCTAACCTCTCACCATTGACTAGCACCACTGACCAGCATGTGTCCTCAATTTTTGCACATAACTTCTGATGTTTCTAGTGACTTCTGTTATTTCCAGGCACTTGATTATGCAATCCTATGGCAGAGAGTCAAATACCTTCTTATAATAAGCCCATGCTATATTCACATTCCTTCTCGTGCAATTTTCCAAAATCATCTTGTCAAATAGGAGCTGATCTTTTGTTCCTCTGTTGTTTGGGTGGTTCCTTTGTGCTTAGGAGGAAAGAACTTGTTTTCAACTAGATGCTGTTGGACGATTAGTACACCAATTAGCAATATGAAAGTGGTTGGTAAGCAGATAATTGGTCTGTATCACCTGGTGCTTCTCCTTCTGTTTATTGTTATAGTTATTAATTAAATGTATGCTGTCCAACTTTCCATGACTCTGGGTGGTTCATAACAATGGAGATTATGTGCAAATGAATAGTGATTAAGGATGACAGCTAGCTGTAATTACTCCCAAATGTGAGCAGCAAACCTGTATCTTGTTGTGACTCCTGATAACAGGATTGGCAAAACAGACGTCATATACCCAAGGAACATGGAATGGGTGAAAACTCATCATTAAATTTTGAGCAGAGTGATCATGGCTTGGAGGCATAAGACACCTTGTTAGATGATTCTGATTTTAAGATTGTGCTGAAGGTGCTACAATAGTAAGCGGGGGGGACTATTGCTCTGTTACAGCTGAATTGTCTACATGTGTAACATCTCATGGGAAAACTGTTGTCTTATCAGTGCAACTAAGGGACATATTATTTGAATATAATCACTGGTGGTATAGACCACCCACATCAATGGTCTAAGCACTGGTTACTTCTGGCCTCATTAAGGTTTTTTAAAATTGTTTTATATGTTTTATGTACAGTATATGGCTGTGATGGCTAACGTTTTCTGGAACAAGTGGCCAAAGTGTATGCGTGCGCGCGCATGCATGTGTACATGTCTGCACGTGCCCCCCATGCATGCATGTGCATGCCCCCCACGCATGTGTGGCAGTTCCAAAGACCAGCTGGCTGGTGGGAGGCATGCGCGCATGCGCGGTAGAGCTGAACTGGGGTGACGGTTCCTGTGCCCACAGAGAGGGCGCTGCGTGCCACCTCTGGCATGCGTGCCATAGATTTGCCATCATGGGTATATGGTTTCAGTTAATCCTTATCAAAGGGATAAGTAGTGTATGGTCCATTTAACAGGACTTAGTGTGACTGTAACAGATATTCATGTCTGTTGAGGAGAACTGCTTCTCTTCCTCTACCATTGTTGCTCTCTTTAATAAATATCACCATACAATACTTGGATCATCGCACACCTTGCTGTCAATAGACACACCACAACATTATTGCTATTTTATGATAATGTGCTGATGTTGTCAGGTAGATGGAGGTAGAGGAGGAAGAAGTGTGAATAGAAATAGGAAAGGAAAAATTGGAAAAATAATAATACTCCAACAAAAGAAAATTTGATTAGAAAAGTTTTGGAGTGCACAGAGATGGACAAGCTCACAAAAGAAATACAAGAAAAGGAGGAAACAGAATACTACATGGTATGGGAGAAATGGCATGAATGGTTAGAAGAGAGGTATAAAGGGCAAGGAAAGAGTAAATGAGGAAGATATAGGAGTTGAAATGTAATAACAAACAAGTGGAAATGGAATGGACACAGAATGTATGATTAAAATTGAGTACATTGTTATCTTTATGTATATAAATCAATATTAGAATCATATGTATAAATGGTAATTTGATGTAAGGGAGAAAAATGGATATGTAAGAAATGTTTACTGATATGAAAATGTTGAAAAGAAGAAAATTGTAAAAAAAAAAATTTGTTTTTTAAAAAACCTGTTTAATAAAAATTATTTTTAAAAAAAGAAATAGGAAAGAAAACACAAAAGGCTCAGGCAAAAAAAAATATGTAACCATTAGGAGACCAACTGCCACATTTATCTCCCTTGACATGCTGCCAAGACCTAATTGGCAAATAGCTTTGCAAGGCCGCAAGGAGCACAGAGTCAAAATGGAGCTGCAGAATTTAAACCAACCAGAACAAACATCATTGCTTCCTGCAAAGGCTCATGTGCCTTTGCTCCTCCTTTATGTCTTATGGGAGGGTCCAATCATCTCCAAGCCTTACTCTCATGTCATCCCTTTTGTTTTAACTGTTCTTGCCTTCTGGCAGCTCTGTGCATGTGCATATTGGGAACAGGCTCCCCCTGTTCCTCTGCCTTGCTGATGTCCAACTCTGAAGGCTCCGGAGTCCGCACATAACTCCCAGATGGCCCTGGCCCCATCTCTGCCTCTGATGCAGAGCCCTCATCCGAGCCTTCCCCAGACTCCAGGACTGGCTCATGTTCCTCCCCAGCCTCCTCACTGTCTGACTGTGCTGCCAGCTCCACAGGCCGCCGATGGACCACAACAAGTATCTCTTGTGTTCTAAGAAAGAAATTAATATATGGGTGCAATAAAAGACATTGGTTATATTACAAAATCCTAATATCAGTAGAAGACTTGAGGTGCCCGTAGAACTGCAGAATGTATAGGCACCAACAAGTCCATTGTCAGGATGCTAGTAAAAGATAACTTGAAACATCTACCTCCAAACTCTTTGGTTCTGTATTTAGGTGGGTATTTCACCCACAACTATACAGAAATAGCATCTGGCTTCTCTCAGACTTTATATACAGAGTATCTCATTCTCTTTGACACTGGTGTTTAGTTCCTTGGGATTTTTTGGGGGAGGGGGGATTTGTCTATTTGTTACTTTTCTAAGGAAATAAGCTCAATTATTTGGCATTGTTGCATTTAGGTTGCTTTGATATTTCTAGTGTTTGTTTCTCCCATCCTCAACCCAAAAGGAAAATGTAGAATTCAGGGGTCTATTAATGGAATTATAATTATGCAGGTTACATGAAATATATTAGTCAAATGAGATAAAAATCTGTGGTATGTCTTTTGCACACCTGAGTTGCTGGAATACATGTTTACAGATATGAGAGGGCTGGAAGAAACTTGAATAAAAGGCTTACATTCCCAAATTAGGCGGTGTACATCCTCTCCTATGCTTGTTAAGTAGCCCTGGTAGCACAGTGGTTAAAGTGCAGTATTGCAGGTAAATTCTGTCCACAGCCTAGAGTTTGATCCTGATGGGCTCAAGGTTGATTCAGCCTTCCATTTTTCTGAGGTCAGTAAAATGAGGATCCAGATTTTTGGTGGCAATGTGCAAAATCATGTTTACATTGTAAACTGCCCAGAGAGTGCCAGGGTTCTCCAACCTTGGCAACTTTAAAACTTGTGGACTTCAGTTCCCAGAATTCCTCAGCCAGCAATATCATAAATGCTATAGCTACTGCTGTCATAATGACAAAAATACAGAAAAAGTCATAGATTGGACAAAATTTAATGTGTTGCGATAGCTAAACTTGACATGACTTATTTTCCTTTGTTCTTTTAAAAATAGTCATGAAAGTTAATGATCATGGCTGTTTCTAATTATCACTAACTGAAGAAAGAGAGAGAGGACCTTTTGCTACATAAAGAATTCTTTTGAAGGCCGTTAGATATCAATTTATCCTGTTAAAAGTCCTGAAGTGCAAGCCAAGGAATCTAGGATAGCAACAAGGTTATGTTTTCAATAAAACAATTTTCCTTTTTTCACAAAGATTCAAAAGTTAGTGGATATTGATGAGATAGATTGTAGTGGCTCTGAAAACCAACTTTTCATGTTTCCTAATGCTAGCCTCTTATTTTCATATATCTATATCTATATCTATATCTATATCTATATCTATATCTATCTATCATGGTCAATCCAAGTTCACCATATGTTGCATCACATATATTTCTAAAGAGGTTTTGTCTCATTCTCCTCTTTCCTTCATGGGAGATGTTCTAAACTAGAGGCACATAGGAAAGAGAAAGAATGAAGCAACAATGCAGCTCTAGTACTCTCTCTCTCTCTTTGTGTGTGTGTGTGTGTGTTTGTGTCAGAGGTTCACTTACCTTCCCTACTGGTTCACAAATGTGAGCTTGCACATGCCACCTCTGCGCATGCACATGGCCTTCTGCACATGCTCAGTAGTCGCACATTACGTCCGAGCGGTTGGGTGGAGCCTCCCGCAGTTGCTGCTACCAGTTCGCGCAATCCAGACAGAACCGGCTGAATCCCACCACTGATGTATGTGTAACTGTGGTCAAGAGTACTATTGAATTAATCCGATTTTGGTGCCACGTACTCTCTTTTTTGTTACATAATATGCCTCCTTTAACTCTCTTTCTAATTGTCTGTTAGCCCTAATTGCTCCTCCAGCCTTCTTTTCTTCTAATAGATGAAGAGAGGAATGGCAACGTCTTCATTTTACTGTGTGGAGTTTTATGCAATTCACCTTTTCAGAAAATAACAAACAATTGACAATAATTCTGCTTACCTTCCCTGGCCTGGAGACAGAAAATTCGGCTGAGCCAGGGACTCTGCTGAAACGATCCATTTGACCTACCCTTCTGAGTCCCCTGATGGCACTAAAAAAGAGGAAAAGCCACAAGAGCCAGCAAATAAGTGAGGGCACACGGTTTCTAATGTAATTGATGAGAGGATATGAATGTGACCCGGGGAAAAAAAAGAGTCACATTTCTGAAAATGGCCCAATTTAAAATCAAGCCGGCATAGCTCCCAAAGGCATTTTTGGATGCAGTTGTAACTTGCTTGCCAATCGAACACTTATATTGCATTTGGCATTTGCTAATGTATTCTCTGAATTGACTCAACTCTGGAAATACAATAGTAATAAGTCAGCCTTTGAAAAAGTTAAGATGAAATATTTTGGATTCAGCATAATTTTGAATTTTAAAAGAGCTTTCTTGCTTGCTCCTATTAACCTTCCAATCTATGAAAGTTCAAGGTTCGATTTCTTTGAACTTGAAGCGTCTCCTCCTGTGTTTTGAAATTCTCTTTCGGATTCATTATAGATGAAAGAAACTTTGCCGCTTTTTTCTTCCTTGTGACAAAACCGAACTGGTATTTTCAGAATTCTGAATTAATATTAAGTTTGTGATCAACACTGATACCTTGACATTTTATTCTAATGCCTTTTCCATATAATTTGGGGAAGATATGTGGCATACCTGTAAATGAGAAGGGGTGGAAAAGCCTGTTGCGCTGCTTTTAAATCTAAATGTCAAAGGACATAATAGGTTTCTGCACCAAATGTAAGTTGGGGGAGTAAATTGATAATTATTGGAACAATAATATTAATTTTGAATTCTAAAGTTAAGTTTAATTTATGTCAAATATCATACATTTTCTCCCTTTTCACTTAGGTTACAGACTTTTCCGATGAGCCAAATTGCACCGATACTTCAAAAGGTGATGTTTATTTTTTAAAATCTTTTTCAAGTTTTTAATGGAAATACTAAAGATAGGCTATTTTTTAAAAAAGAAAAAGAAAAGAAACACTACCAGGTACTGATGCAATTAATTCCTAAATAGTTTAGGAAAATGCCATGCTGTCAGAGGCCCATTTTTCTTCCAAAAGAGACAAACTTATTTCTTATTTCTATGGGGTTATATAATCCATTCCATGAGGTAGTTTATTAGCCCCTATTCTACATTTTTAAAACAAATATCAGAATGCTCCTTCACCGAGCTAGATACTAATTTATAAACAATTTCACTGAATAACAAAATAACAGAGAATAATAGAATAACACTATCCATTTAAATGTTTTAATTTTAAATGTATCTTTTCATTTTTTAGCCACCTATCAAAACAGATAGTATAAACCAACCAGCTAAGCAACCAAATGTATATACAACTAGTTGTTACTTTACAAGTATCCTTTTCAACAACCATTTGATGTTACAACGGTTCTGAAAAAGTATCTTTATGACCAACTCTTGATCTTTCAATCACTGGCTTATGACATGATCAAGATTTGGATGCATTTACAATTGTCATAGCATCTCACAGTCATGTGATTGCCATTTGCACCCTTCACAACCAACTTCTAAGGAGCAAAATCAATGGGGGAAGCTAGCAGTAAAATCACGAATTGTAATCACGTGTTATTGCACTAAATGGCCTAAGGTGATTCACTTATTGACTATGGCAGAATTGAAGTCATAAATCCATTGTGGTCACATGATGTTTCACTTAATGACTGTCTTACTTAATGAGTACACTAGAGTTGCCAATCCCTGTTGTGATAATTAAGTTAATCATGTGACCACAATGGATTTATGACTTCAGTTCTGCCATAGTCAAAAAGCAAATCATTAAGTAAGGATTATCTGCATAGTTACCCTAGTACAGTGTGACATATATACACTTTACATTACTCTATTTCATTTCCTGTGCTAATATCTAGGCTGGGCTGAAATTCATCCTTTCTTTTCCCATTTGGGTTTTTGGATTGGTGGGTATTTTTTGGAAATTTTATTGCAGCACTTTCACAAAATGGATGCTATGAAGGACTGCTTATTCACAAAATCTATATCATGAGTCATAAACTACTATGGTTGTAGGTTGGTGAAAAGGCTCAATTCAGTGTAGTTGGCATCAATCTGGGACTAAGGGTTATTTAGTTTAAGCAAGCTGAATAGTTCTCATCCTCCCGGTCCTTATTCAAATCTCTTAATGAATCTAAATTTTGATTTGAAGTTCTTTTCTTCTATTGGCATTTCAAGCTCTGCTGTGATCCAAGATGGCATAATGGAAATTTCCAGTGCTTGTTTTGTGTAAAATGCCTTTAAGAGGAAGGAAGGAAGGAAGGAAGGAAGGAAGGAAGGAAGGAAGGAAGGAAGGGAGGGAGGGAGGGAGGGAGGGAGGGAGGAAGGGAGGAAGGGCTGGATTGCATAATCAATAGATCTGCCTTCAACGCTAATTCTACTGATCACCATTGACCATTCCAATTGCAGCCTTCTGGAATGATATCAGGGCATTGGAAGATGAATTTCTCTAGTCAATCAGAAAACCAGGAGAAGCAGGGCAGAAATAGGACTCAGGCAAATGTAGGTGCAAAAAAAAAAAAAGTGCAAACAATGGAAAAGATGTAGAAATGGATTAAGCAATTGCTATGGTTGAAAAGCCTCCTCCTACTTCCTGCCTTACTCCTCACCAAAAAATATTCTTTTGATGGACTGTGTCCATCAGTTAGGTATGTAGTTCATTCAGGCTGCTATTACCAGAAGGAGTGCTTGGGGTGAATTCCTTCTTTCCCTTCCTTCCTTCCTTCCTGCCTGCCTGTCTGCCTGCCTTACTCCCTCCCTCCCTCCCTCCTCAAACAGACATTTTGCTCAACTGTACTGGAAATGAAGATCACATCCAAAATAGCATAATTTGGGTCAATACAGAGTTCTTTCAGAGAATTTTGGAGTAGAAGGAATAAAAAGAGAAATAGTGGCTATTGTGGCCCACCCTGAAGAGGAAGAAAATGAAGGTCATGTGGAAGAGCAGCCTGCCTCAGAGAGCAGCTGGGAGACACCTGGAATTGAATTGACTGCCGAGAAAACCAGAAACAGAAGTTGATTCAAAAACTCCCTCTAACCCTAAACCAAGTAGACTTAAGAGTAGAACAGAGAGTCTTCATGGCTCCTTACAAAGCAAGACCATGCCCATCAATGTTTGCTTATACTTGCTGGGGCTCTATTTTACAGTCAGTGTTGGCAAGCAATCCTTTATTAGGATTTACTGGAATCTCACATTAAACTCTTCCCTGGGAAAACCCTATGCCTTAAACCCAGATCAGCTGCTGATCCATAATGATTCTATGACCTCTGGATTCTGCCCTGACTATGCTTCTGACTGTTCTTTGGGACTTTGCTTATTGAGGCAATATCTATAGATTTCCCAAGTAATTTGGGACCACTTGAAGTTGTGTGTGTGTGTTGTGTGTGTGTTGTGCAAATGCATGCTTGCCCTGACTACTACTGCTGCCTTACTTTACCGAGTAAAGCCTTGTACTTTTCTCCATTAGGGGATTGCTTTCAGAATATAAAAAAGAATAGGGCAGAAAAAATGATATTGGAATGTATGATATCTCAAATGGGGCAAGCTATTTCTAAAGCCTAGGTAAACGAAATTAAAAATAGTTAACAATACTGAAGAGTCAAACTGGGCAAGGAGCCTGAGAAGTTCCACAGTAGTTGGCTCATGAATAGATTGATGCTTCTTACTTCCTTATCTACTTCTCTGCTACAGTCCTGTGGGCCATAAAGAATTCCGTGCAAGTTGTAAGAGCAATATCTCCTTCCCCTTTTTTCCAATAAAAGCAGCATATCTGTAGAACAGATCCAGATAAATCTGGTTTACAGAAAGCTCTGTGCATAAAACCACTGTTCTGCCGTAGGGTGATAAGATCAAGCAAATAACATGGAAGATGATGGAATGAAGATGGAAAAGGGAGAAAAAACAACTTCATAAAATGAATACTGTATATATGAAAAAATATATATTAGTTTCTATATTTTGAGTCATTTTAGTATTTCAGAAGTAGAGACAATGATTACTGATTGGGGTGCCCCCATTTTTTTCCAACATGTTCATAAACTACCATATTTTTCGGAGTATAAAATGCACTTTTTCCCCCCTAAAAGAGGGTGGAAATTTTGGTGCGTCTTATACACCGAATTCAGCCATTTTTGGCCTCCAAAAGTTCCATCCCATTTTTGCAAAAAATGGGCCTGAAAAATGGGGTGCGCAGAGGGTTTGGGAGGCCTGCAGAGTGCTCCTGGGGGCCGGGGAGGGCAAAAACCTTTTCGAAATCTTGGTGCGTCTTATACACCAGTGCGTCTTATAGTCCAAAAAATATGGTAGGTATTTTTTTGTGAATTGTAAATTGAATAGAGAGTTGTCAGTCCTTAAAGCAGTAGGTTATTTGACCTGCGTATTTATGTAAAACAGCCTTTCCACAACAAAAAATTGTTGTACAATCACCTGATTGTATTTGCCACTTAAAAGTTCCAGGTCACAGGAGGAACATTTGTTAGAAGGGCAGAAAGGAAACTGCTGTATATATTTATTTTTTTGCTTTCATCAACATCTTCTGAACACAAACATGAACACAAATGATTTATAGACCAGGAAATAAGGATAATGCGATAACGAAATATTAAACAGATAAAATGGACGCTGAAGCAGTTTATCGTAAATAAATATTTGAATAGCCATCGTAGTTGTCAAGGTTGAAATGAAAACATAACCGAAGGGAACACCATCCATACACGCGAAGAACTTTCTGAAATGTGGCAAGGAACTGATTCATCTCATTTAAAAGCACAACGGGCTGGATCCCAGTTTCTGCAGAGTGGTACTTTCTAAACCAGTGGTCTTAATTTATTAATTTGATTAATATCCCATTTTTTCTACAGAAGCTCAAAGCATTTTATATAGGAATCTTTCTTCATTTTCAGTCATGCAACAGAAAATCTGTGTAATGAGGTAGCTTAAAAGAGAGTAACTGGCCCAGTTACTCAGGGAGTTTCCATGGCTGAGGATGGACTTTATCTGGTTCTCTTTAGTCCT